CCATATATTTTTTTATATGAGCCACAGTCATGAAAAATCTTAGCATGATGTCTAAACTAATGTTGAGTAGTTTCTCACCAAAATCCAACATGTCCCTAGACTGATAGTGCATTAAGGGAATAAATATGTGTTTGACCGGTCTTAAACGTGCGTGTAAGATCGGCTTAGGAGAGTGGACGCGACTGATGCACGAGCTGTAGGCAAGGGCATTATCAGCGTTCGTTCCCCTGAGCCGGTCTTAAACGTTATTCCCATTCATAAATAAATTTTTAGTTTGAGTCAAAAGAAGTCAATATATGATAGATTTCCAGCGATTGTGTTCTGAAATTTTACTTTCATTTTCCAGAACACCCCCGTCCATTTATGATATATTCCTTGTGCAAATTACATGTACATGTATTCATACGCAGACTCTTGACCAATAGGAATGAAGTAAACTGTCGCGTATGCAAGTACCAGAGCGGGTTTTTTTATGCAGCGGGAATTATCACTTCTTAGAGGGCCTTATCAAATGTTAATACATGTTCAAGTTCACGTTGTCGAATAGGGAGACTGTCTGAGGTATTTATGAATTATCGCATAACTGAAACTACATTTTGTATCGACGCACGCTTAAAACGCCTACGAAAAAAGGGTTTCCACATAGATGCTTCAGTCGTGGAGCACCGAAATGTGACATTTTCAACCAGGAAGTTCAATGCAAACGATTGGGGTTTTGGTTCACGCGCTGGTTCTCGCGCGAATGCCTTTTCTTTATAATGGAGATGAATGCTTTTACCGTTGGTCTCCTGACATAAAGACCATAATGGTGCGTGTGACGCACGCTGCCTGTAGTGCAGATAATAACAAGACGGTACAGAGCTGACAATGACATACGGCTGCTGACACAAAGTAAAGACTGGTTTCTTGGATTCACTAGAAATATAGTTCTTGGGCAATTCTGTTAGCGACGTTTGAGATACCAAAAACTCAAGAGGGCGCTGCAAACGCGCAGTGCCGCTCATTCCCACCTGTAAGTTTATTTCAAATGTCCTGCAGGCTCGGAAAGAATTTACGTTCCCAGTTTGGAGAATAAATACCTGGGTGGTTGGGCGAGTTGTTAGGGTGGAGGATTTCGTATTCTATTTTAATCAATATATACCAGTTATCAGTTCCCTCGCCTGAGAATTGATTCACTTCTAAATTTTGCTTACTGCTCCAGAGTCGAGGCAGTGTTGTTGAGCAACGTAAGTTTGCTCTTTCAACCAACATCACTTGTCCAAATTCTGTTCGAATACTGTGGATAATAAAAGATAGTCCCAATTATATACTACTCAACAAAAGTTAAGGACCACTTTTTTCTTAACTTGTAATTTCAGGATGTGCAATGATGCAAGAAAGACTTTATATAGATAGTTGGTGTGAACTTTTTTGTGAAATACACCAGTTTCACGGTAAAATCCAAAAAGGTATAGTGTACGTCAAAAGGACAACCTTCTCGACACACTAATGTTCCTAGCTGCAAGTCATTTTGGAAACATAATTTGTCATGGGGTTGTTGCATTGTGGCGCCCCGCCAACCGCAACCGCCAATTGAAAGGGCACCCTATGTGTGAATGGCAGTATACTCGAGTGAATGCATCTACAATAAAACAACCTTGCAATGTTCATGACATTTGGCATCACTGACGTCACAATGAATGTGCAAGCGACTACATTCATGTGAAATGGCGGCCCTCCCCATGATGATCAACCGCATTCGTCGTGCTGTGTAAAAGAAGGATATTTAATTTGGTTTTCCAGCCGTTTTATAGAGTTCACAAGACACTTTCAAAACCTCTTTTGGTAAGTCTGCTCCAACACTTGAATCTTCCCTTTAGCTTGAAGCGCAGGATTTTCAGCATTAAGCTGGCAGAAGGACGACACAAAATAATTATATAGGGGGCCTACGGCGTGTTCAGGATCCGACAAAGCGTAGGCCCACCCTAAATACATGTACATGTATCTTGTACATGCGTTCATTACATTTTTCCCCCCAAGATTTGCTGGCTGAAATAAAAAGACTTGAAGAAATTGCGCTTTTGGCAAATGCCATATGGGGCCTATTCTTCCTTAAAATATACATTTCATGCATTGCCTTAAAAAGGTTGCCATTTTGTCAAGTTTTTAGTTGTTTACAAGAAGTGTTTTCGTTTTGTATTTTGAATGATCGGTCTGAAAGACTTTACGATTGTTTGTGAATCATTCTTTTGGGCTTTTGTAAGATGGTAAGCCATAATTTTACAAACCACTGTTAAAAAGGACGACTGTGACATAAAAAGGGTGTGCCCTGTCCGAAAGAGGGAAATGTTGTCAACTTTTTGTCAGTCAAGTATCGTTAAAGTTTTGGCTGTTCTTTGCTCGTTTGTATAGTCAAAGAAAAAAAAACTGTGAAGAAATGTATCCTCCTAGATTTTGAAGATCGGTTATAAGAAAACAGTACCAGGAATAGGAACAAGTGCACCCCACATTTCCATTGGCCCATTGCCGTGATATCTGGATTATTGTTCCCCAGGGTGTATTAAGGTAGGCTAGGCCTATACGCTTTAAGCATGTTGCATCTGAAAGGGTAGTGTATGAAGTTTTCATTGATGCCCTTCTTGTATCTCTGAAATCGCGGATGTGTGAGCACTGTTGCATTACAAATCAGTAGGAAAAGACATCCTTTTCCCATCTTGGCTGATGCTATATTTGAATTTTTCCATGCATTTTAACATTCGATATGTAAATTTGATAAATACATTCCTTGATACAAGTAATAAGGAAATGTGCTTGGCCAGTCTTAAACTTTCGTTTAATTAAGACCGGCTCAGGAGAATGGACGCGCGCAACAGCTGATTTTGTGCAAGTAACTTACATTATGAAAAAGGTGGTCTATCGTTTCATGGGTTGTGTTAAAACCACTTGCTGCCAGGTGGGTTTGAAAAATGCAGTGCACACATACGGGACATTTTCAAGATTTTCAGTTTTCAAAATTCTTCAAAAATTTCAATTAATGGACGTTTACATCCACACGAATGACTGTCTGATGGTTACTCTAATCTGACAGACAAAATCTTTTATTTTCAGCCAGACCTGCAGCCTTGTACAATGAGCCCAGATTTTGCGGTGTTACGTAATTTTCCTTTGTTCACGAACCTATAATCAACTGGCACAGTGCGCTGCAGACCTCTTTTCAATAGGGCCAGATTACAATAGCAGTACTGTGCAGCTCATAGCGGCATGCAGCGTGGTGGAGCGCTTTTGTCTCCTGTGGTAATGCGCTCGCACTAAATGCCCCAAACCGTGGGTGGTATACTGCTTCAAAACAAGTCTGGATAATCTCCACTACTGAGAGTTTAAAAGTGTTGGTAATGCCCAGCAGCCTGGTCTTTTGTTACGAGTAAGGTCTTTTGTTACAAGGCCCAGTTCCCTTTGTCCGATATCGGAGACCCCGGCCACGCGTATAGAGAATACATGTCAGGTGCCAGAAACCCCAGCGGCAAGTGGTTATAACAGACATTGAAACAAGGTTTATGCCGGTTTGAGTGGGTTAGGTTGGGTTTGTGTTTTGTCATTACGAGACAACACGTCGCATTCTTCGATTTAGGTGCATCGCAACTTAATTAGATCAGATTTATCGCTAAAAAGAAAATTTAATTTTTTCAGAGCGTCAGAACTGAAGCATGAATTTTTCAGCGAGTGAAGACTACCGTGGAGACGGTAGAGTTGTCCAACGCATCTTAATTATGCAACACATTGATAAAGTTACCTTCCAACCTGGGGACGAGGTTCTGGACGTGGGCTGTGGATCAGGAGAAGAGACCAAAACGATAGCAACAAAGGTCAAAAGTGTAACAGGTATAGAAGGAAAGTCACAAGAACTCATTTTTGAGTTGGTTCACTTGGCTGTGTCTGCCTGTGGTTTGTCTGTAGTGTGCGAATTGACTCCCAAGTAGGCTCTCCCTCTGCAGAGGTGCACTGAGGAAGGCAAATATTAAAATCGACTTTGAGGTTTAAATATAAACAATAGCGATTTTGATCAACCATTAGCAAAATACTTGTAGTTCTAAACATTGTGCTCTGAGGTCACATAATAGTTTCTTTGTCTTCACTAAAATAAAGCAACATATACACCGTAGTCGCCAGCCATTTAGATCCATCAACAGATTGTTAAGCATGTGTTATTGTATACAATGCTCCAAAAATAGTTCCCGGTCACAATGGAACATTCACGACACGTGTATAGAAAATATTTCTTATCGAATATCAAGACCAATTTTCTATATCGTGAAGTTATTATTTCTTCAGGTATCGATTCTTCAGAAGCAATGATAGCTACGGCCCAAAACAGCAACTCAGCATCCAATATCCGGTATCTTGTCTGGGATGCTAGAACCGTCGGCGACAACCAAGAATGGCGAGACAGATTTGATAAAGTTGTGAGTTTCTTCGTGATCCACTGGATCCCGTCGGCAGAACAGCCTAAAGCGCTAGAGGGCATCGTGGCCTGTTTGAAGACGGGAGGAGAGGGTCTGATTCTTGTAGGCATTGATTGCAAGAAAGGCGACATACTGGTGGACGCTTATGCTCACTTTAAGAAACATCCAAAGTGGGGTGTATACATAAAGGTATATACATGTAGTTTCATGGCCTTTCCAAATCTGTCACAGCCACTCTTTCTTTGGTATTGGTATTCAAACTATTTCTATTTTTGCTTCCTTTTTATGTAATTCGGATTGTTGTATTAAACACTGTTTGAGAACATTTGAAATGACGGTAAGTTGAACACAAATACAATTTGTACGTTTGATGCTGATTTCAAATAGTGATTGTATTTTTAAAGTATAGCTGCAATGAATTTTTCTTCAATGTATGAAAACTCTTACGCACTCCTATTTGGTTAAATGAATTGAAAAGTGCACACTATTAAACAATCAAAATTATCAATGTTTTCACAGACAGCTGAGGACGTTGTTCCTGTGAAGTCATCTAGGGAAGACATGGTTCAGTGCATAGCTATTTCTGTTCAAATTGTCAACCCAGATTTTACCAACTGAGAGCATGTCTGAGAGAGGGATTGATGGTTTCTTATTGCTATGCACATAAATTATAATGAATCAGCAAAGAAGAGAAAACTTAGTTTAGGAAAATCTACAAAACGCAAGACTTTTTTGTGTACAAACCTATGTAATATTGAGGCTTCTTCCTGAGATGACGTCACAGTTTAGCTCATGAATATGGAAATACTTATCAACATAAAAAACAAAAAGGCATCGAAAGACCCTTTGAATTAGTGAAACCAAAGTTGAAAATGAAGTTTATTGAGGCACATGCATTTTACAGGTTTGTAATCAAAAACATTGATTGCTGCTACCTTTCAATGAGCTTCTTAGGGCCTAGTTCTATATCGGCGTTAAGAGACTCGTCGTTCGTTAAGTCCCAGACCATACGCAATTATATGAAAACGGTTCGTTGCGTCTATCGCAAACAGTTGGGAAGTTGTATCATATTCAAGTTCACCAACTATTTGTGCCGAGTCGAAAGAGTCGACCCAGGCAAATACGAACACTGGCATGATGGGCTTACAGCGATTTCCTTCTTACCTATAGTATACAATGCATTTTGCCATGCTCTTTGATATCTCAATGTTGTCAAAAGAACTGCCGACCATACACAAAGTACATCGAACAGAGTATCAGTTTGGTGGTATTACCAACCAAAAAGGCATTTCACTTGAAGCTTCTTAGAGTATCTGACGTTGTTACGGAAACCAGTAATTTTGTGGCTTATGAGGAGACTGCTGTTGTACTCGTAGGATTACACGTGGCCAATGTATTTGTGGTGGCGACCCATCCCAGACACCGTTGAACTACTGAAGATGTATGGTTGTACCAGCGTGCATTGTGAAATCGAAAGACGGGGTACATCTGTGCCCGAGCTGCAATTCAAATGTGGGTTTGCCACTTTCTTTAATTTACATGCTACCAAGCAAGTTTTTTACAAGACATGCAATTTCAGGTTCTCATTATAAATATGATTTTCGCATTAAAAAACATCACAGTACAGCAAATTGGTTTATTTATTTGGTGTTCACAGATACAATTTTACAGCAGGTACAGTGAATACGGCAGTTTCACAATAGTGCGCCACCAAGAGTTTGCAACGCGTTGGCCAGTCACAATTTGTCGACCCAGTGCGCGTTTGGAAAAGGTCGACAAATTTTGCGCGTTATGATTGGCCAACGCATTGCAAACTCTTGGTGGCGCACTATTGTGAATCGCCCGTATTGTGAAGAGTACAAAGTTTGCTTTTTTTTTCAGTGACTGCTAAGACTCTACTTGGGTTTTTGAGTCTCATACCGTCCGAGGAACAGGAGGCGTTCCTTGAGGATGTGTATCGTTGGGCGCTGTCAGACTTTGCCGACAAAACCCGGCCTGGACACGTAGTTTGCGCTGGTAAGTTTCTGGTTATACACTTCCGCAAGTAATGGATGAACTTTACGTGCAACACTCATCCATGGATACACCGGCAGCCATCTTGTCGTAAGGAGGCACCGTTGTCAAGCCTTGGAGATCTTTGATGTGGATGTTGACAGGGAAACTACATTTAATGCTGACAAAGCCGGAGTCATCAAGCATGGAGCAAATAATCGAGCAACAGATATATATGGAAATATTGAGAAAGTCTTATTTACGAAAGATGAGATCATTCATTATCCAAGAAAACTTAGTGACTAAAAAAACACCATACTGCATCAATTGTTCCGATCACATGGCCCACCCGTTATGAGAGGCCCATGTCGCCCTGTCCTCCTCAGAAGCGATCTGGGACCTGATGAGAAGGCTTTCTCCAAGTGCTGTCCAATCTCTGCACTTTGCTTGTTAGACAAAAGTTGTTGAAACTTTTCTCCTTTTCTCCCTCTCATCACTGACCTGTTGCCCTGTTGGTGCAGGTAAGCCTGAATCCCTATTGTTTCTTGTACATAGATTCTTATTAAACATCTTGATGTACTTTGCCCAGGTAAATTGGTTTATGGCACATCATGATCAAAGAATGAATGCTCGGACGTTAATCATACTGTAACATCCGCACTTTTTAATTTTTTCAATTCCTGTTGTATATTCCATTTCTATCGAGCCCATTTAGATAATTCTTGTTTTTATGGGAACGATCATTTAGTAGAGATATTTTTGTACTTTTTATGCTTCACTATCTTACTATTAGGAAAGAATTTTTGTGGAATAGTTTATTCGTGTTTTAGGAGTATTTTACTGCATCAATGCTTTCTGTTGAGTAACTTGCGCAACTTGATAAGCGTATGTTTTTATTGTTATATTCGTGTTCCCCTACTCGCCAACTTTTCGTCATTGGTGCTTCAAGGAAAATGAGGATTCCAGATCAGTCACTGGTTACGTAGGTCCACACAATTTAGTCCATTCAAGCCTTATCACAAGCTATATATGGTACCTAGCCATATGTTTGTTGCCATGTGCATGGAAGTAAGTGTTCCATGTGTAATTCTACCCTAAACTGACCTTGAGTAAGGCCAGCCACCTTTAACTATTTATACGTTGTTTAGCTTATTCTACATGTACTTGGCATTGACCAGCTCGCCTATGATTGCCTATGAAGTTTTAGCGAACTTTCCCTGATATTATTTAGTGTATTTTTTAAAAAGGTGTTCTGGGTGAACTTATTAGTTATGCGCTACGTAATCATAATCTTGTTCATTCCTTCGCATGTCTTATTAGTTTCATTGTATCTTAATTTAATTCCTGTTATGTAGTTAAGATTATGTATTAGTTTTGGTGTAACTAAACAAGACTGTTGATCTTTAATTAATTAGGAGAAGCGATCTGAGACCTGATGCGAAGGCTGTCTCCAAGTGCTGTCTGCACTTTGCTTGTTAGACAAAAGTTGTTGAAACTTTTCTCCTTCTCATAATTGACCTGTGTCCTCTGTTGGTGCAGGGTACTTGCCCATAGGTCATGTCGCTTTGGGGAGCCGACCCGGTTCGTCTCTCTACCGTCTTCACTTAGACCCTTTCCCCATCATCATGCTGGATCTGTGAGTCTATTGATCTAACGAAGTACTACTAAGGACTTGGAGCTTCACCCATGTCCACTGGTCAAGTTGGATCAAGCAAGTTCAAGATCACAGCTAAGCCTGATTTTTTTTTATTCTTGATTGTATAAGGGATTGCGTTTTTTCTGTATAAGTCATTTGGTTCCTTTCCAGTTATGGATGGGATTGCTTTGAATCCTGTTTTCAATTTAAATGTATCTTTTAAGTTGCCTGTCCATCCATTGTTGGTATTTCTTGTATATCGCCATGTATTTTGGGTGATTGTATTTTGAATGTATTCTTGCAATAAAATTTTTTGAGGATCAACATAAGAAGCTGTCCGTTTCGATTCTTTCGAGCAGATTTCCTTGTAAAACAACTTATTGAACAGGCACGGGTCTCGACTAAGACAATCGAGAGCCAACCTGTGACATATGGTAATCTAGGGAACCGTACCTGAGTAAGAGCGCCCTCATCCTTCCAATACGCGTCACGAAGGTAATTAACATAAAGTGGATACTTTTTTGATAGGCTTCCCGGGCACGCGGTGTGAAGGTGCTCTCTTTGCTTTTGGTCTCGAATGCAGAGCTGTACTCTGTGTATTTTGCTTCTATTAATTTGCAGGGAGCATGGCTTCGGCCATGCCCCTAAGTGTGGGAGAGAGTCAATGCTAGGAACCCCTAGTAAGTACTTATCATTGTATAAATACTTCACACGATCTTCTGTCGGAAAAATTGTACGATTTACGGGGCCCAATGTGGTAACTGCTTTCTGTTCTACAACGTGCCACACTGTATTGGTTAGCTAGCAGTTTTAGCCTTTGACCATGCATTATACTGTTATTTACGGTGCCGTCTAGCCATTACACTACACCAACTGTTTTCCTATTTAATAAATTGTAGTTCTGGAGTTAGACATCATTTATTGTTCACGTCTTCTCCAAGTGCTCGTCCGCTTTAATTAGGGGACCGTTCCTCCTTCCTCCCACCGTCCAACTGACGTGGGGCTGGTCCGCTACAGTAAGATACCAGATTTGCATGTATTTTGTATGCGTGACACAAATCGTGCAGAATCTTGGAATCTTGTCTAAATTGTCTACTTGTCAAAGTTGTCATTGAAATCCAATACTATGAATTGTGACAAAAGATGTATAACTAGCTTGCAGGAGCTGTTTTTGTGAAATACACCTGTTTCATGGAAAATTCTGAAAGGTAGTGTCAAATTGAAAACATCTTCGGCAGATTAAATGTTCACATAGGAAGAGAACGAAACACCATTGCGCAACAGTAAACGGAATATCAAAGTGTGCATAAAACAGCAGCAAATCGCTTGAATATGAAACCAAAGTGAAACATATTTCATGCCTTTGCTGCAACTCATTTCTGAAGCACAGTGCGGCTCGTTGACTAAAATGACTCGACAGTGGGCAGCCCGGGTTGTACAGGGTTACGATTGCATATCGTGGCGCCCCTTCAACCACGAACAGTTTGAAAGGGCACCCTGTGTGTGTAAATACTGCTGCAATGAAACGACCCTACAATGGTATTGACATTTGACATCATACGTCAACTACTACATTCATTTAGTAATGGGAAATGGCGGCCTTTCCCATGATGATAAAAAATATTCACAGTGCTGTGTAAAAGACGGATATTTCATTGGTTTTCCGGCCGTTTTATAGAGCTCACAAAGACAGTTTGAAGACCTCTTTTGGTAAGTATGCTCCCTTAATCATCCCTTTGGCTTGAAGCGCAGAATTTTCTGTATTAAGCTGGCAGAAGGACGACACAAAATAATTATACATGTATGCGGCCAGTTCAGAGTCCAACAAAGCGTCGGCCCACCCTAGGTAGGCCTACGTGTATCCTGTACATGCGTTCATTACTTTTTCCCCCAAGATTTGCTGGCTGAAATAAAAAGACTTGAAGAAATAGCGCTTTTGGCAAATGCCATATGGGGCCTATTCTTCCTTAAAATATACATTTCATGCATTACCTTATAAAAGAGGGTGGCATTTTGTCGATTTTTTTAGTGCTTTACAAGAAGTGTTTTTCGTTTTGTGGAAAAGACTTTACGAACGTTACTGAAGCGTTCTTTTGCCTTTTGTAAGATGGTAAGCCTTAATGTTACAAGCCACTGTTAAAAAAGACGACTGTGACATAGAAAAGGCATGCCCTATCCCGAAGTAAGTAAGGGGTAAGTGTTGTCAACTTTGTCAGTCAAATATCGTTTAAATTTTGGCTGTTGTTTTCTCGTTTGTATTGTAGGAAACTGTACCTTAGCGCAAGGGCGACTTCACTATTTTAATTTTGACGTCAGTAGCATCCATTTTTACGTCTGTGTGGGCATAGTCCATGGCGAATTTGTAGTAGTCTACACGGAAACCCCCAGCAATGGGTTTTTGTCACTCCAAGATCTAGCTTGTAAGGATGCCTGTGACAGTTGCTGGTCACCAATAAATCAAGGCTACAAATATCCTGCTGAGTCTGTCTCCGTCTTTGTGCGGGAGTACCGTGCCGGTGCTCGTTCCGTTTCACAATGGGACTGGGCCTCCTTGTGGCGTCCCACTACAGTATGGTCAGAGAAAAACGGTGAAAAAAATGCATCCTCCCAGATTTTTAAAATCGTTTATAAGAAAACAGAACCGGGAATAGGAACAAGTCGACCCCACAATTGGCTAACAATAGGTGAAGTGCTTATGATATCTGGATTATTGTTCCGCAGGGTGTACGAGGGTACCGGTAGGCTGGCATGGTTAGGCCTATACGCTTTAAGCATGTTGCATCTGAAAGGGTAGTGTATGAAGTTTCCATTGATGCCCTTCTTGTATCACTGAAATCGCGGATGTGTGAGCACCGTTGCATTACAAATCAGTAGAAAAAGATTTTCCCAACTGGGCTGATTCTATGTCAGAGTTTTTCCATGCATTTTGACATTCGATATGTAAATTTAAAAAATACATTCCTTGATACAATTATTAAGGAAATGTGCTTGACCAGTCTTAATTAATTAACCCTTGCGGCGAGGGACCGTGTCCATTCCAACGGCCCTCGCTGCCCCATGTGCCCAAAATTGTCTCATATTTATTTGTGGATAAAGCGATCCCTATTCAATGTCTTTTTCAGTCCTCTTCAGTATAAATCAGATGGAAACCTTCCTAGGAAGACGTCTCAGTATGTTTTGTGGCGGAAGTGTCCCTTTTGAGGGCGTGGTCTGCAGTGGGGGCGCTGAATTCAACAATACGGAAATACATCGGCGATACCAAAAATACACGGGAAATTCCCGCTATACATGATTGAATCACCGTGACCCACTCATCCATCCAGGGTATTTATAGCACAATAGCTTGGCCTATCGCTCATAGGTTGTGTTAACAGACATTAAACAAATTAAGGTTATGCCTGCCGGTTTGGTTGTTTAGGTTGCATTGGGTTGGTTTGGTTGGGTTGGGTTGGGTCGGGTTGGGTTGGGTCGGGTTGGGCTGGGTTGGGCTCCACTGGGCTCGGTTGGGCTTGCCTTTGCTTGTGTTTGCTTTGAGTGGGTTGGGTTGGGCTTGTGTTTTGTCATTACGGGACAACACGTCACATTGCAAAGTTCCTCGATTTAGGTACTTCACAACTTGGATACAATTTATCGCTGAAAAGAAATTTTAATTCTTTCAGAGCGTCAGAATTAAAGCATGAATTTTTCGGCGAGTGACGACTACCTTGGAGATGGTAGAATTCCCCAACACACCGTAATTATGCAACACATTGATAAACTTACCTTCCAACCTGGGGACGGGACAACACGTCGCATTCTTCGATTTAGGTGCATCGCAACTTAGATCAGATTTATCGCTAAAAAGAAATTTTAATTCTTTCAGAGCGTCAGAACTGAAGCATGAATTTTTCAGCGAGTGAAGACTACCGTGGAGACGGTAGAGTTGTCCAACACACCGTAATTATGCAACACATTGATAAAGTTACCTTCCAACCTGGGGACGAGGTGCTGGACGTGGGTTGTGGATCAGGGAAGAGACCAAAAGGATAGCAACAAAGGTCAAAAGTGTAACAGGTACACAATGAAAGTCAATAGAACTTTGTTTGGAGTTGGTTTACTTGTATCCGTCTTAGTATGTTTTGTCTGTAGGGTGCGAATTGATTTCTAAATAGGCTCCTTGTCCTCAGAGATGCACTTGAGAGGGGAAAGATAGGGTGGAAATCAACTTTGAAGAGAAAAATATGTGACAGTAGCGACTTTGATCAACCATTGTCATAATAGTTCTAACTTGTACAGTGAGGTCGCTAAACGTTTTCTTTGTCTCCACTTAAAGAAAGAAAGCAACATATATTATTGTAGTCGCTAGCTGTTTAGTCCTGTCAAGAGATTGTTCAACGTATGTTAATTTGTAAACAAGCCTCAAAAGAATAGAAGATATTATCATCGAATGTCAAGACCAATTCTCAGTGTCGTGATGTTATTATCTGTTAAGGTATCGATTCTTCAGAAGCAATGATAGCTACTGCCCAAAACAGCAACTCGGCATCGAATATTCGGTATGTTGTCTGGGATGCCAGGACCGTCGGTGACAACCCAGAATGGCGAGACAGATTCGATAAAGTTGTGAGTTTCTTCGTGGTCAGCTGGATCCCTTCGGCGGAACAGCTTAAAGCGTTGGGGAGTATCTTGGCCTGCTTGAAGACGGGAGGAGAGGGTCTGATTCTTACAGGAATTGATTACAACAACCGCCACTTACTGGTGCACGCTTATGCTTACGTTAAGAATCATCCCAAGTGGGGTGTATATGTCAAGGTAAATACATGTAGTTTGAAAGCCTTTCCAAATCTGACACCGCCACTCTTTTCCAATTTCTATTTTGCTTACTTTTAAGCTTTTTACGGGTTATTTAAAGACTATTTGAGGACATTTAAACTGACGCCAAGTTGAAGGCAAACGCAAATAATAATAATAATAATAATAGCAAGATTAATAACATCTACATGATGGCGCTGCGCAACACAGTGATGAAACTGTACTGAAAGGTGTTTTTATATGCAAGTTTACCGACTGGTTATATCGTGTCGAAAGAGTCGACCCAGGCAAACACGAACTCTGGCATGGTGGGCTTACAGCTGTGTCCATCTTAACTTTAGTACCATGCATTTTGCCAATATCCTCCTGGACATCTCAAGGTTGACATTGTCAACAAGATTGCCGACCATACACAAAGTACATCGAGCTGAGTACCAATTTTACGGTATTACCAGCCGAAAAAAAGGCACTTCACTCAAACCCTTCTGGGGAGTTTTGTGGAAACCAGGCATTTTGCAGGTTATTAAAGGAGTGTTGTTTCATTTGCAGGATTACGTGTCACCATCGCATTTGTGGTCACGATCCATCCCAGACACGGTTCAATGGTTAAAGGAGTGTGGGTGCACCAGCGTGCACTGTGAAATCGACAGTCGGGATATACCCCTGTCAGAGCTGCAATTCAAATGTAGGTTTGCCAGTTTCTGTAATGTACATATCCCCAAGCTAGTTCCAAGTTATGGATGAATACTCAATTTTTTGTAAGCATAGAAGATATGTACTTTCAGGTTCTCATTTTATACACGCTTTTACTGAAAAGATCACAGTACAACAAGGTGCTTATTCATTTGGTATTCACAGACAAACTTCTACAGCTGGTTCAGTGTATTATGAGGAGTACGAAGTTTATTTTTTTTTCAGTGACTGCTAAGACTCTACTCGGGTATTTGAGTCTCATACCGTCAGAGGATCAGGAGACATTCCTTGAGGATTTGTATCGTTGGTCACTGTCAGTCTTTGCTAACGAAGCCCGGCCTGGGCAGGCAGTTTTTGCTGGTCAGACGATGGTTATACACTTCTGCAAGTAATGGATGAGCTTTACATGCAACACTTATCCATGGATACACTGGCAGCCATCTTGTCGTAAGGAGGCACCGTTGTCAAGGAGATCTTTGATGTGGATGGTGACAGGGAAACTACATTTAATGCTGGCAAAGCCTGAGTCATTAAGCATGGAGCAAAGAATCTAGCAGCAGATATGACAATAAAGACAATTACTGAAAGAGAGTTCTGTTTTTAATTAATAATATACGTAGTGTTCTGTCAACTCATATTCTAACCAGTATCAACTAATGAAATAGAGTCCCTTAGTAATTATGTGCACTTGCATTTTGCTGATTTGCATACTGTTTGAGAATTTTAAAACAGTATTTAATGTTCAAAAGTTTCTTTACAAATAGTTTTCCCTTTTCAATGAATTGTAACAAAAGATAGATATATATATATATAAATAGTTCCTCTGATTTTTTTTTTCGATAAAGACCCTGTTTCATGTTGAAATCTGGAAACGAAGTTCGACTTTCTCAGCAGATTTAAATAGCCTTTATCTCTGCGCTCGTGACGTCGATGAGATTTCATCGCAAGGGGGGATTCCTGTTTTCAGCGCACGTATGAAATGGCCTTACATCCTCCCATAGAAAGATAGAAAGACACCTCGCTGTTATAACGGCATAAGCGAGTGCATTTCCTGCCTTTGCAGCAAACTTGTTAATTTAGAGCACAATGTGGGGTTGTTTGGCGCTTGCGCTCAGCGCTATGCTACGAAAGCCAATTAGTGCCATGGCAAGTATGTCTTCATAATTCGTTATTACCGATTATTAATTTGTTACTATGGATTATTAATTCGTTATTACGGATTGTTAATTCGTTATTACGGATTATATATTTGATCTGGTGTACTGCCAGTGAATGTTATCAGTGCGACATTTATTCAATTGACAGGTTTGGAAAAGAAGACCAATCAGTCACACGTGTGGAAATGTGTTGTAGGTGCCTCCAACATACGAACGTTTTGTTGAAGTGTGACGTGAATTTAACGAAATCTTACAAAGTGGGTTGTGGGTGATGGACGTTATAATTATAAACTATAGATAGATATAGATTATATTATAGATTAAGTATATCAAAGGAAGAGAATGTACCCTACTTGTTGCGTTTAGATGTATGTGGTTGTACTACACCAAATACGCGCCCATAGAAAACAGTGCAAAATCGGACCGAAAAGCGCCCTCTGTTGACTCTGGTGAAGAGGTTGGCCTCCGTTTGTTCACTGGAAATTCACGATTATGACCAGCAGATCACTTTTCCTTTCAACTTTATGGGGGTTCGCCACGAAATGTTTTTTTATTCGCTTCTTTCCGAAGATACCTCTAAAACAGTAGTAAAACTATGCGCTCAGCTCTGAATGTAGCCGCCCGCCTCTATCAAAAATAGGTCCGCAATTTTTGGCCTTTTTTGAAAAAAATACCCCGAACTGGAAACTATCAGTCCCAAATTCAGGATTTATAGAATTTATTTCTGTGATGCCTCTTGATTATGGCCTGTCTTATTGTAAAAAATCCCGTGGGATCACAAAATATTAATGAGCTCGTGCGCAGAAATACAAGCATTTGGTGAAATGCATCATTAAGTATGTCATGTCTAAAGGTCATGTCTGTGGTGCCGGTGACAGGCTGAGGGCTTGAACAAGAAGACCAGTCCGTCCCTTTTTTGTTGTAGAAATCAACAATAAATGCCCCAAAATGCATGCATTGAGTATACAGCAGGTAAGTAACGGATTTTCGAAAATACAGTGAGTTCAATTTGGGTTATTTTCTGCGTGCAAATAGACCTAGGTCTGAGTAGGTGGCCGGTGGATGCAAATAAGTTCAATCCAGCAAAGGAGAGCCCATGGGAAGAGCATGTATTTCCGACACAATCTTCAATTTCCCCCAAGCATGCCGAGAGTGGGGAGTCCAGCTAAACGGCACCTCTAAATTTTATATCTGAAGGCATGTAAAAGTGTTTGTTTTCAATCTTTTTTGTGCATCAAATTCTATATTTTGAAAAGCAGTTGTGTTGTAAAAGAACCAACATTTGTGTTAGTACCATTTATTATGTCTGTTTGCGTCAAGTTTTGGGTGTAAATTATGATGAAAATAATGTAAGATCGGAGCCACTTACACTACATCATCAACTGTGTACGGCTATCTTTGTTTGTTGTCGTGTGACATAGTCCCGTCTAAGCTTAATATCTCGTGAGACTCAACCGGGTTTGGAACGATGATGTCATCGTCTTGTAGAGTTAAAAATCTTTCATTTGATGTATGACTCACGGCATTTGACCAAAGCACCATCAAGCCTCGTTTTGGTTTGTGAAGAATACAAAAAGGTAACAAAAAATGTGCATTTTTCTGTTGAAAATCCCCCAAAAGTATAAAGAGTTGATGAAACATATATGAAACGGTGTATTTGGAAGCTTACAATTTCACAAAGAAAATAAGGTCATTTTTTGTCAAAAATCGATGTCGAACTGGTGCTAAACAGCCCTTTCGTATTGGGGTGCTGTCGTTCAACTGCGCACATTCGGTGTGTGCATGAGATTGATACATGGTGCACAGGGAGCAAGATGCAAATAACAAGTGCATGAACCACACTTGTTGTTTCAATCAAACGTTATCAAAAGACCCAAATAAAACACGAACAGACTTAAAGTAACTTATGACACCTGACAGACTTGGTCCCCTATTTTTTTAGCTGTTTATTGATGACAAAATATCACATCAAAACTATGCTTCAGTGATCTTTCAAACATCACAAAAATTTCAAGCCCAACTCAACCATCCTGTTACTTTATACAACTAAGACTTACATACACACACGTACAGAAAGTGGCTGCAGCCAGTTTCCATGTCCTGTGTATCGATCGTAGCCATAGTCAACCATTTGGTCGTGGCTCGTCTTCGCAAGTACACATGTGAACTGCACGACTCTAGGACCATGCTCAGATTCTGATCGGGAAATATTTACACTTTTTTTGGAAAATTGGCATGGTTTGGGCCCGTTTTTTTTTCTTTGTACTCAGTACGAAGGTATGTAAGCTACCATACATAAAACTCTCAGGGGGTATGGAGCAGCATTTCTATGGGCACACAACAAGAATACAAACCCTGTTCGTGACCTGTTAAATGTAATGCAGAGCCTATGGCAAAAAAGGGCCTGTTTTCTGTGGGGTTCGTGGTCGGGGGGCAGACGTTGGACCCCAAAGTTCTGGGAATAGCATCGACCCCTCGTGCGGATCGTCTCGTGATGAAAGGCAGGATGGTAAGAAAAAGCTAGCCTCTGATAGGGAGTCCGGGCTTTTCAGTGTTTTTCTTTACCCCCACAAATTTAGGTGGAAAGGCTTGCGGTAGTACCATGCGAAGGAATATATCTCTTATGAGTATGTGTGGTTCTGAAAAGAACCGGGAGTAAACTCAACGTCTTGGACTGCGTGCTCAGTCCGTTGTCAGGAGACATGACAGACTGAGCACGCAAATAATAAGAAGGTTAGGCTAGGTTTTTCAGAGTATGTTTCTATTTTAAAATGTGTCCCAGAGGGGCTTAGCATTAGATTGCACCACAGAGCATCTAAAGTTGAACATTTTCCTGGGGCCCACATGCCGCAAAGGGCTTTGCTCTGCGTGCTCACAAATTTCAGCTTCTTTTATTTTTCTGAGAATCTCATCCCTGCATTACCAACCCATCAAAACCTAAGTCAAGAATCAGACCTACTGACTAGTGTCTTGCTGTTCAGGGAGTAACATGCATGACTGACTAGTCACCAGGTCCCTAATTTTGCTACCTATTGTCATGTCTCGTTGGTTTTCATACTAAGTGGCGAATTATCAGGGACCTGGCATCTATACGGTCACACACGTTAGAACTAGTTAGCATAGACTGGTTAGGTGCACATGGTGCAGTCAGTTGATTTTACAGTTGTCGGTCTACTTCCAGAAACTGAGGCACAACCCTGTTTGCCTTCTAGCAATTTTACTTTTATGAGTTTGTAAAGCTAGGATAAGTTTTTGAATCCAGCTAAGTTAGATAAATTACTTGACTCTAGAATTCCTCCTTTTCAATCAAATCTCTTCAAAGGTCATACTTCAGACTGCACAGACATCACATCACCAGTTTGCTGGGGTGGTTTCTAAACTTCAAAAATCTTAGCAGAATAACTTCGCAGACACAGTGACTTGTCGCCACGTTTCCCATTTCAGAGACTTACCTCGTCTAGTATCCCACCCGCGAATCAGTCCACTGTTGCAGCTTTAGCACAGGTTGAAAGAGAGAAGATCTTCCAATGGATCATTGAACTGGCTAGCCCAGAGACCAGAGAAAATGCCCTACTTGAGCTGAGGTAAACACTTGAAGAAACTAATGGCAAGGCATTGACGGGTCGTCTCACATTTTTTTATTTTATTCAAATATTTTAAAAAGTCTATTAATCCTAACCTTCCCCATCCACACAGAATTAAACGGTAGTAAAGTGTTTAATTCTGTGGGGATAGGTCTGGTAGGCCAAGACAGCGGGCTTTTGCATTGGATTTGGCATACCTCAGAAAAACAAAGCTCAACAGCCTCTGTGCACAAAGTCCCATATGGGTGTTTAACTTTGTGTGAATGGGGAAGGTTAGGGCCAGCAACCCTTGGGCAGTTAGGGTTAAAGAAAACATGTGGTGACTTTTCAGCTCAGTCTGTTTTCATGCATAATACTATGTGTTATAACAATCCAAACAAGATTTGCATACTTTGAAGACCACATGCTGAACTTTGGAATTCTTACAGTATTTTGTTTCATGTTGAAATTTTCAGCAAAAAGAGAGAAATTGTTCAAGATTTAGCTCCTATGCTGTGGAACTCCTTTGGAACTGTTGCAGCTCTACTGCAAGAAATAGTCAACATTTATCCCTTCATCAACCCACCGGCTCTTACAGTAAGTTCCCAAAGTGTTTTTCTTACTTTCTTTTTGTGTGATGAAAATGTCTGTGGAAAAAAAATTGTGCAGAAAAAATGTGTAAAAATACCTGATCACTATTGAAATTCCCTGACTGTTCTTGTTTTCTGTCTTTAAGGCACACCAGTCTAACCGTGTGTGCAACGCCTTGGCCTTGCTGCAGTGTGTGGCTTCCCATCCAGAAACAAGATCTGCATTTTTACAAGGTTTGTTTCACCACAGATTTCTTGTATTTTTTCCAGCCAAAGAAAGAAAAACAGAAGTATAGATACTTAGGGCATGTCACTGAAGGAGTTCTACAGATGTAGTTCCACTTCTGTGACCATGAACAAAGATTCTGTTAAACTTTTATCAAAACTTGACAAGATTTGTCAAAACACTAAATTACCAACTAAATTATCCACAAAAATGGACAGTACAGGCACTATTTTTGAAAAAGGACAAAGTCTTAAGCTTCTTTGTGAGGTTTGATACTTTCAACAGTATCCTTCATGAAAGTTTCATGTAATCTTGATCCAAGAGAATGCTTTACTGTCATTCAAACCTACTTTTGATGTCGTTCCATTTCAGCTCATATTCCTTTGTTCCTGTATCCATTTCTTCACACGGTCAGCAAGACTCGACCATTTGAGTACTTGAGACTGACCAGCCTAGGGGTCATTGGAGCATTGGTCAAGGTAAGTGGCATCACCAAAGCCTGAAGTCTTGCAATGTTACACTGCGATTGCCATCTATTTCAGTCAAGAACATACGTTGAATACAGCCAGGAACTGCCCATACCAACTTGAAACATAGTAGAAACAAAGAAGTTGTGTTTCCTCAAAGAAGCATTCCACCTTATCAAACATAATATTAGTGATATTGAGATGCTCTCTGAGTTCCAAGGACACCGCCAATTTATTGAGTCTGTCTATTTGGATGTGCATTTTAGAATGGAAAATTTTTAAGTTCCTGTGTATCACACAACTTATAATGAGGGAAGATACTCAAACTTCATGACTTGATCGTAATGTTGAGCTTAATATGTTAACATCAACCTTTTCTTTTGATTTTATTTGCTGTAATTTTTTTTTGTTCCAGACTGATGAGCCTGAAGTGATAAATTTCCTTCTGACGACAGAGATCATTCCACTGTGTTTGAGAATCATGGAAAGCGGCAGCGAACTCTCCAAAACCGTAGGTTTACCGAGGAGCCTGGAACCAAATTTTGGTTTGGGAAAGTCCAATGAGAGCCCATTGCCCCAAAGCAACTTTCTCAAAACATTTGACGGACGAAAATAGTTAACTTCATTCTTCATATGTTTCACTTGGCTTGTGGACAATATTGTAATTCTGCTGTTATGTTAAGGTCTCTCATTCGTACTTGTTTCTTTTGCTTTTCAATTCCTGTAGGTTGCTACATTCATATTGCAGAAGATTCTTCTTGATGAGACGGGCCTGTCATACATTTGTCAAACTTACGAGAGATTTTCGCATGTGGCAATGATTCTAGTGAGTAACTAGCAGTTTTCCTTTTAGTATTTAAATGGACTTCGCAGACTTTGCATTGAGATGAATACCCCATTTCTGTACAGCGAATGTACCTGTAAGTTTCAGGTTTTTTTTTATTTAATGGCCGCCTTACATTTGTTGCAGTGCAAAATGGTGATGACTTTGGCTAAGGAACCTTCAGCCAGACTTCTGAAGCACGTAGTGCGCTGCTATCTGCGTCTCTCAGACAATGCCAGGTGTGTGTGTGTTTGTGTGTAGTTAATTTTCATCTTAAAGCTTTTCTTTGGTCAAATTGTGGTGTATGAAATGGAGCATGTTTTTGGATTGCCATAGGTGGAGATTTGCAGTCTTGGTTGTAGCATTATATGTTACAAACAGGGGTGTGAGAATTCAGCTTTTCAGCTGATTTCAACATTTTTTTTGGTTTAGATGTTGACCTTATATTTCAGCTTTTCCATACACCTGGTCTGTACAAAAGTATGGGAACTATTTACATTTTGTCATATCAGTGCAACATGGTTGTAACTCACATTTTTTTGTACATGAGATACGACCTTGTTGCGATGACATGACGATTTCAGCTTTTTACTAGCTGTTTCCAGCTTTAATTTTTAAGTGGCCACTCACACCCCTGCACAAACTGTTTTATTCCGTACATGTATGGGTTAGAAAACGATACTGATGCACACGTCGTCTTTCTCACAGTGAAAAGTGTGTGGCGATGTTTGCAGAGCAGATGGTCCTACATAAATAAGACTCACCATTTTGACCAACGTTTTATGATGTTTTCAGAGCAAGAGAAGCCCTTCGCCAGTGCCTGCCAGATCAACTCAAAGACAACACCTTTGTTCCCGTCTTGAAAGATGACACATCAACCAAGCGGTGGCTCGCTCAACTTATTAAGAACCTGACGGATACTGGGGTGCCCGACCCCCGAGGGATACCCCTTCCACCCCAGTAGGCTCAGAGGTACCCAAACACGTTGAATTACATAGGAAAAAATCCATTAGGCCCAGGGTTGAGGCTGCGTATGTCAAATAGGATGGTGTCTCAGTAGTGATTACCTACTGGAAAGTTATCATGCAGATGTTTAGGAAACCAGACTTCATGGTCTTCAGGAAACATGTTACCCAGGATTGGTTGATGGATTAGGGGCTGATTTTTTTACTATTCTTAGGATAAAGAAATTTCTATTATTCTGCACAGTGTTAATTCATTGAGGAAATCGAAATCATGGAATGTGTACGAGGCCACAATCCCAATGTTTCGCAAATGCAAGGTGAAATTTGGATGGAAATCAAAATGGTGGAAACGGAAACAGGTGAGTGTGGCTTTCACCAACCAGTAGAGGGAATAACTTATCCCAGTGGCCAGGAGTAGCTTTCAGTAGTTTCACTGTGTTATCTGGACCGATTACTCTCGTATGGACAGTGCAGATTTGAAAAATCTGTGTTGCTGTCGAGATAATTTCTCGGCAAACAGACTCTCTAAATTGAGAGGTTATTGTGCTATGTGCTTCACATGTAAACTGTTTATTGCCTTGATTTTCTGGAGGGAGTTTTGACAATTTTCAGCTGAAAGATGACTTAATGACAGTTTTCTATGAAGGTGTCACCCACATGATCACGTGTGGGATTAATGTAATCGCATGGCTTGAATCTATATGCCATGCTTGCAGGTGTGACTACTTTTTAATTGAAGTGCAGTTTTAGGCAGACAGGGAGTATACGCCGTTGCCTACTTCAAAGAGGATTTTATATCATGTATATAGCTTGTAAATATCTGTGAACAACCTCTGAGACAGAGTCACGTTTTTCAATGCAAGTTTGAAAAATGGCAGAAATGGTGCAGTTGCTTTTTTGTTCCACAGTGCCAAAGCTCTATGTTCTTCAGAAATTTTGAAGTACTAATCAGAGGAGTTTAGAATAAGTGACAGTTGAGGGAGGCTTAATAAACCCCTGTATATGTCAGAAGACAGACTATGAGGGGAACACTGATGGATGTCCACAGCAAAGTCCATCCTTTATTGGTAAAGAACACGTATTAACTTTGTGTTGTTTCTATAATGGTGTCTTATAAATACTGGAAATGCACATGGTGCTAAAGACAACATATTGTCTTCACTTTCTTAAGCGTTTTCTTTTTCTTTTTTTTTTAGATTTCCATTTGTTTGAACTCAAAACTAGAGTATTGCCACAGAATTATTGAAAACAAAATTCATTGACTGACATGCACGCCAGTGTTCATTTACATGTACGACAAAAGCATTAGACAACACTTGCAAGGCTTTACACTTTGATTTTGTGTTTTCTCCAGTAAAGCTAAAACATTTTGACCTTTTTTGTTGTACGTGTCAATTTTACCTACAACTGTTCTTTCTTCTTATATTTAATATATTTGTTTTTAGTATTCTGTCTCCAGGTTTTTGTTTCAAGAATGTCTAATAGTAAAGAGGCAGGGTTATTCTTAAATATTTTACACAAAATGAAAAATCCTCATTTTAAAAGGTTTTATACAGAGAGTTTCTCAAGGTTTGTTGGTAGATTTTTCTCAAATTCGTAATTTAGATATTCGGGCACAAAGGTTGAAAACAAACAGTTTCTTGAAATATACACCAAAATGCAATGAATCAAGTTTCATAGAAAAACCTATTGTAAATTCTTTTTTGTTCGGTTCAGTTCAGTTCAGTTCAAAGTAAAGAAGTCAGTGTTTTGTCTTTTCCTTTAAACCTTTGTAAATATTTAGGTTACTGAATATGCCATTAAATACATGTATTGGTTTAAAAATAAACCCAAACTTAAGTCTGTGATTTGAGACTGGAATAAATAGTGGAAAATAAATATTATTTAAGCTTTTTTGGTCAATTTTATGACGTGTCATTTATATTGAACTGTAAATCAACGCTGACAATGCAGCCATTGTAATAAAACATGGCAGAAATCTAGCATCAATGACGCTCTAGGACAAGTTGATGCGCTTCTTTGGCCTTGGTGAGAGAGCCAGGTGATCCTTGCGTGGGCTAAGTAGGCCCAGTCTGACAGAGAGTGGGGTGTGGGGCTCAAACATGTCCCGTGGGGTGCTGGGATCAGGTAGGCTGATCTTGAGGAGTTTGCCAGCTTTCAGGTACCCTATGTGGGAATTTGGTTTCCAGCGATGTTAGCTATAAAAATTACTTTGAGGTACAAGGCATTGATGCATCGTATAAACAGTTTAATGTTATATGTTTATGGATAGACAGCATGGAAACTTACATTTGCACCAAACTGCTTTGACCATTTTATTGTAAATTATATTACAGACCCCAGTGATTTACATATGGTAAAGAAACAACTGTATATTACCGGCATTGGTTGCCATGCTGATTGGGTACATCCCGATGCTGTTTCTGATGTTGGGATTAGCTCCTGTATTGAGAATGGACAGCAAAGACAAATGTGATGCATTAGCCAGCGCAGGAAGTGTGGAAGCTAAATTTAGATTGAAAGTCCCATGTACAGTGGATTATTCATCTTGACCATTGTAACATTGGGGATGTGGAGGTGTTGAGATTACCATTTATGAGAAGTAATTTGATGATGTTGATGTCACCCTTTGAGGCAGCCCAGTGCAGTGCAGTGTTGCCCTTATGGTTTTGAGCATTCACATCACAACCTGTAATCAAATATTGATCAAAGGTCAATCTTAATTGTGACCGGCTCCAGAAAAATGGGTAAGAAGTTACCCGAGTTCTTGATGGGGCTTGATTCTGTACGTCAAAAGCTAGAATTTGATACACATGTACATGTAAGAATGACCCCTGCTGCATTCTTGCCCTTGACTTGCTCCCAGCAGTCTCTTAATCAAACTCGTAACGCATTTCAAATTTTGTACCTGCTGAAATGAGCAGCTCTAGAATGCTGAGATCTTGGCTCGGTGAACCTGCACATGCAAATGTTGCCAGGTACAAGCAGGTGTCTCCATCATTGTTGGCTACTGACACATCCCCTCCTGACAAATGGAAGAGAAATGGATATTACTGTGCCATTTCTTTTGAATGCCGTTATTGTTTCCACCATTATTTCCACTGATGTCACGGTCACTGATGAAGTGAGGACTAAGAAAATATGGAACTGATTTTTAAGGATTTATTATTCATGATTACCTTGACTCGTCAGATGAATAAGTAGTCTTGGTTCCAGATGGTATACTGTTATTATACTTAACACATCCCCCCTAGAAGTCTGTAAAGAATTCCTGAGATTCTGATCAAACAATGACCAACACAAAGGCAGCGGGGTTGCCTCCGTCCCATATCTTGCTTCAAATGCTACTGATTGGCAGAATCTATTACACGAAAGCATTCATTTAATACACCACAGACTAACTCTGAACTAAGACTAATGAATCAGCCAAACCCTATCTACGAGCAAAGATATCCAAACTTTGCAGATCTGACACCTGATTCATTTGGATCTTTAAAAATTTGTGAAGGATAATTACCTCTTTCCAAAAGGAAATTTACAAGGTCCTTGTGGCCACTGATGCAAGCATACTTCCAAAAAGGAAAAGAGAATCAAAATTTATGCATGCCTTTAACGTCAATTGTAGACAGTAAAAAAATAGGAGTTTGAACACTATACAATGCAACTGTACATTAACTTTAATCACTGGAACCTTGAGACAGAATAGAGTGTCTCTGTTTCAACCAAATCTCACCAGGAAGAGGGTCATTCCACTTTGGGGGATGGGGAAGTTCACGTCAAATTGAAGCTTGCTTACAAGGGCCTTAACCTGGCCTGCATGGCCTGGATGATGAACTGTCTACAAAATAAACAAAACTGACAGTTGTAGTTTCCACCCAAAAATCGAAAATAAAAATTTCTACAATAAGATCATAAAATTCCGGAGATGATAAACATTTTACCTTAGCAAGCTCAAAGATTGAGACAACTTTCGTTGATCTTGGTGATTCAACGCCTGAAAATGAATAAACATCCATAAGCAAATAAGAAACATTCAAAGGTACAAACTTGTATTAAATTATTCATGCCTTTAAACTTATGTCCCCAACTACCAAGAGCAAACAAGACCTTTCTAAAACTAAATAATGTGATTATTAAATATTTTCAAGTGTTTGCCTTATTCATTAAGTATGTAATAAAATAGTAATTTATTTGCTAGGCCATCACAAATGAAAGAAAAATAAACAACAGATTATATCAACCTACAGTCAAATCTAAAACATTTGGCTAGGCCTGTGTCCTTGATTCAAATTCTATTGACGACAAAACAGAGTTACATACCAGAAGCATGTTTACATCCATTGCTGATGCACCAGATGAAAGTCACTGCCACAAATACAGCCAGGGCCAAGAAGCCAAATGACTCTAGAGGAATCTGGTTTCTCTCAAGAAAACTTTCTGCTGCCGTTCTCAACCATTCAATGGCTTTGAAACATGTTTAAGGAGGAGAAAAGTAACACCGTGACAGATCCATTATGTATGAACCACAGCATAATAAAGTTGTTAGGCCTAATGATATTTCAGGAACAGTTCCTCAAATTGAAATGAGTTTCACTAACGAGAATATCAAATAATCTTTTTCATGGGATAGAACATTTGGGACAAATATTTTGCATGAAAGACTTCTTTTAAACCATTAAATTCTGCTAATATCAAATCAATTACTATTTCAACTGACATTTCACTTTAATAAATTTGGAATGATAAATTAAATGAAACTCCAGCTTACAGTTGCAAATTGATTTCCGCTGTCAGTTTTTCACAATTGTGAATTACACTTTCCAGAACGCCTACTGCATATTTCCAGATGCCTTTCATGTCGAATTCAGCAGTCACGTCAAGGCTAGTATTGGTGATCACTGCATCCCTACTTGGAATATCCATGGCTGAGGTAACATTGACGGCACTGTTGGGAAAATTTGTCTAAAAGTTAGGCCTAGCGCACGTAGCGGGACCCACGTTAACTTAGTCCCCTAGTCACAATGAAGACGTTGTTTGTGACAGAGCCAAGATCGGAGAAACCTTGCCTAACCTTACAAGAGGAAGAACTAATTTGAATTTTCCTCGAACACGCAAAAATTATGGCAGAATTAACCACTCACTATATCAAGATAAAATATGGGTTCTCCACTGGCATAATTTGTAAAACTTCAGACACGTCAAACAAAAATTAAGAAAAGCAGACGATAAGGTTTATTGAAATCACGTGATTTAAAAGGCAGATCAATTTGTTTTTTCTGATTGGTCAGAAGTAAAAAGCTCTCACACGTGACACTTGACCTTTGGCCTGGGTGGATGTTCACGTGACCTAAGCAAGATGGCAGCCCCCAGCGGAAGCGTCTTTCACTTGGGCCGATCTTCCAGTTCAAAATTAGGCGTTGTTTACGACACTGAAGGACGGGAAGTTGAGGTACATGGAATAAAGTATTATCAGTTATACCCACAGCGAAAAAAGCTGGTCATACGTGGCAAAATAAAAAGATTTTGTGTTGTTACTTCATGTCATGTCTGTCACAAATTAATTTGTAGCGGTGCCTAATTTCCGGACAGAACCCATATACTTTCTGAGTTCCTCCAAGTCCATTGCAATAGGGCCTAGGCTTACTGCTATATTCAGTTGTACATTCCCGTGGTCAGAGGTTGTCCCGTCTGGGCAAAGGGGCAACTCTTCGTTTCTTTTTAGGCCTACAACAGGGATTGCATGTTTTCTTCCTCTTTTGCTGCAACGTTATGAACATGATAAAAAATATCTGACAGTTTCCTTTTCGGTACAGTGTGGGAGATATTCATAGCACATAAATAGTGAAATTTCAGGCACATTTGATGTTAAGTGAGTAATTCAGATTTTCCCCGTAGACCGCAAAACTTTTAAACATGTATTTTGTCACATTGAGTTTGATTGTGAAATATGAAATAGCCACAGAGGGACCAATCAGAAGAATCAAGATGCAATGATGTCATCCTGACTGTGAGAATGATCTTGGCAATGCAATCTATTGTTAAATAGCATAAATCTTTTGATGTCTTCTTGACAAGAATAATGTCTACATGTATTTCTTGTGAAATATTTTCATTCATATTAGGTTGAAACAAGAGAAGACGAGGAACAAAATGTTAAGCTTCAAGAAACCATTGAGCTTCTCCTTGCCGCTGGATATTTCAGGGCACGGATTAAGGGACTCACACCATTTGATAAGGTTGAGCATTTCAGACTTTGTTTTTAAGCAAAGATACCGTGCAATTTGCATTTGTCAATATAAAAATGGTTCAGGATGTTCACTTCAGATGTGTTATTTATCACGTCATAATCATGATGTTATCCATCTTGTATAGACAAGATAAACAAGATGTTACAAAACATGTAACTTATTATGTGCACATCTGTGTAGGCCATAGGCCTACACAGATGTGCACATAATAAGTTACATGTTTTACGCTTTTCAGAGGAAAGAATGTGATCACCCTAATTTTGCCCTGGGTGACCTGTTACTGAGTACTAGCCATCCAAAAGCAATAAAATGTCCTGAAAAGTCAAACTGAGCCGTGAAAATATTGAAGTATTCACTTAGAACACACAATATTTCAGACAAATTTCATAGCGTTTATGCACAGGGCATCCGTATTTATAGAATTCTTTCTTACCCTTACACAATTGTACTTAATATTGATATGTACAAATTCAGTAGGTATGGTAATGTTCCTTGCAAACTTGTCTCCACATGTATTGTTAAATAAAATTGGGTTACAATCCTAGGTTGTTGGGGGTATGACTTGGTGCATCACAACATGTAACTTTGACATTGATGTGGATTTGCTCTTCCAAGAAAACTCTACCATTGGACAGAAAATGTAAGTTTAACAGCACAAACGATTTTGACAGATGTCTTGCGTATATCTAGTCATTAGTACGTTCAACGTTACTAGTACAGGATGGCTACATGGGTAACCCTATAGATGCAAGACGGCAAAGTTCCACACCTCAAATAAATATGTACAGTAGTGGTTTTGAGAACACTTTCTTTATGGCAGTTCATTGTGATGAAGCCCCCAATCATACTTTTGCATTATAGCCATGTTAAACCAGATCATCAAGTCACAAGTTGGTGCCAGGATCCTTGCAATAAAGTTATGGATCAGTTTATGCAATACACGTTTACACTGAGATAATGACATGACATGAAAGGTGTTTTGATATATTGTCTCAAGGGGGATCATGCTTAATCATGGCTTAAATCACTTTTTGCATCCAAGCGCCCTTACAGAGAAGATCGTCGCCGTCCTGCCCAGAATGAAATGCCCTCACCGCATTGAGCCCCATCAGATCCAAGGCTTAGATTTCATCCACATCTACCCCGTGGTTCAGTGGTTGGTGAAGCGTGCCATTGAGACAAGAGAGGAGATGGGAGATCTCATCAGGGCCTTCTCCATCTCACAGTTCAACAAACAGCACCAGACACCAGAGGTAAGCAAATGTCAGACAGAGGTAGTTAAAGGACCCTTCTACAGAGTAGGCCTCTTGGGGGAAAACGGAGAGAATGACTTGCACCAGAGGATGCTCTGGAGCCGTTGTTCATTGTTTATCTGCACTTCGCCATGTTACTGTTATTTAACTGAATAAAAAACCTGATCAGTCCTTGGAGAATATATCAAGGCTCTAAAAACTAACCTAGACAAGACGTTGTCACTAGGATGTAGAATTTGAGGGGAGGAAGAACAAGTCTGTGGACACGATTAGCATCGTGAAAGATGTCTACAAACCCCAGAGGAGATATCGGCGAGCTGACGCCCACAGGATGAAAGAAGAAGAGATGAGAGTACAGTCTACTCTTCTGGAGTACGGAAGGTAAACACAACTTCAAATCATTTTCTTGGATGTCCTTAATCCTGACTTTAAATGTTGATTCAGTAATAAATTGTTGTTAATGTCCTGATCCCAGTCTTTGCATCTCATACATTAGAATCAACATTACGACAATATGTGGCAAAGCATCCTGCTCAGGGACAGAAATGTAATAACACTAACTATAACTTGAGATCTGAGAGTTTCTCTCAATAGAATGACATGCTAGCCACAAGTTGACAGGGAAACTGTCAAAGGCAGTAAAACACATGACATTCTGGCCAGTGACCTGTCTTTGCATAACATTCCTGTGCTCAGTAAATGGCACTCAAGTCTCAAGTAATCGTCCACCTCTTTTGATTCAGACGTTACGGCATTAGTCGGACTGCCAAGTCAGAGAAGGATGCCCAGAAAGAGGCCAAGAAGAAGGCATTGGAAGCCGGCATGACCAAGGCCCGGTCAGACTCCTTAGACTCTGAGGAATCACAAGAGAGAGAAGAGAAACGCATCCAGGCCCTGATGAAAGGAATGTCCATCTCAGAGGAGGTGAGGGGAGAGGGCATCATCTCAGTGACCTTTGACACTTCATCTTTGACCTTTAAGTTGCTCAGATTGTGTCTGATGGCTTCAAATTTAAGTGGCCTTGAAAGAGAACGGGAAACCCAGAATTTGAATCCTTTGATATCCTAAGTAGGAAGTTTCTTCGTCAAGTCCTTATCAAGGACCTCTGCATGAGGCGCAGTTTTGCATTTAGATCTTTGGTTTGTTTTTGTCACTGGATCTAGCAGAGAACTACAACACATTTTAATTTTTTTTGTTCTTTTTATGGACAGGGTAAAGTTACGGCCAGCACTGTTGGTTCCATTGTGGGTTTACAGTCCGAAGAGATTGGCCAAATTGCGTCTGAATATGCAGATAAGGTAAGGGACAAATTCTCCCTATTGTACTTCGTTGTGATGCTAATGGTTTTGTAACAACTTTTTGCAATTAGACATAGGATTATAACTTGCCTACAGATTTGCAGCCCTGCAGTTTATGCCAGTTTTGACAAAATTAGGCTAATTTTTAAGGTGGGATGTGTCAATTATGTGCAAATAACGGACAAGCTAACTTTTTTTCAGAAATCAGAGCTGCAAATGGAAGCTGAAAAACCAGAAAGGATGAGTGGTGCTCAGCAACATCAGAGAATGGTGGCATCACTGAACAAACAGATAGCCAATCAGGAGAAGAAGCTAGCTGAGGTGAGACATCATTACCATAGCAACCTGACACTATTGACTAATCAGATGATATCTGCAGAACATACACACTTAATTGGCCATTGAGAGTTACATGTGAAAATCAAACATAACTAAATACTAAAAATGTGAGCAGTTGCCAATGGCCAACAATGACCAAAATCAGTGAATCGAATCCTGTTTATATTGCAGGTGAGTACACGCCACAGTGAGCTCAAGGAGGCTCACCTTGGGACCCAGTCTAAGCTACAAGAAGTCCAGGAACAATCTAGGAAGATCGATAAGGAGATGGAAGATCTGGAATCCATTGAGACAGACGAGAACAAAAGGTAATAGGTTTCCAAGGTAACCTTGGATAAAATTCAGAATTCCTAATCCTAATTTCCACAGTTGGAATTCCAGTGCATGCACTCTAGCAGGCATTTGCCTGGTCTCTTGTTTTTTTACTTCTCTCATTCCAGTGTTCTTCAGAAGCTGCGTTCCCTTGTGGCTATGAACGAAAGTCTCAAGAAACAGGAACAGGAGTTCCGCACTCATTGCAAGGTGAGTGTCATTAGGGACAGTGAACCATTGAATTATATCTGGCCCCAATCTATCCACTTACCTTTGTTGACAACTTTATGATAGGCACAAACTACTTGTATATTTTATTACTCTGTAAAATTTGTTGGCTTCGTGCCTGTCTTGGTCGTGTAAAAGGTGTTTCAAACCTTGCTATAAGGAAATTAAACAGCGGGTGGACTTATTTTTAAAATTGCTACTTGTTAGGAAGAGATGGTTCGTCTCCAGGAGACCATCTCAGGGCTGAAGGAGAATGAAGGAGAGGCAGAGATGTCTGAGAGGGATCAGATGATCCTGAAACGATATGAGGCCGGGCAAGAAAAACTTCAGAAGCTCCGTCTGCTCTTGGTAAGACTGATGACAGAACGTTCAACTACTGCACTCAGAGAGGTCAAAACACAAAGCACTTGCCATTTTTGAATTTGTTCTTATCACCTGCAGGCTCGGAAAACAAGAGAAATTGCTGCCCTGCAGAGGAAGATAGATGACGTGCCATCACGAGCTGAATTATCCCAGTATCAAAGACGATTTGTTGAGCTGTATAATCAAGGTGAAGTATAAAAGTTGTCTAAAATAAAGGAAATAATTTGCTTTGATACCAACAAGTTGTGAAATAGGAATAGATCTACAAAAGGACAAGATGGAATCAAATCTATTGTTTAACTGTAATCAGAAAAAATGTGTATCATACTTTGATTTCAATTTTCAGTTGCCAACACCCACAAAGAGACAAAACAGTTTTACACATTATACAACACTCTGGATGACACCAAGTTATATGTGGAGAAAGAAATTACTTTACTCAACTCAATCCATGACAACTTTTCACAGTAAGTCCAATTTCCTTTTCTTTATTATATATAACAGGTTTGCCCTTACCCAACGTATATTAATAAGCACTGTATGCTCAGTGAAAATTCCTTTTCTTTGAAGTAGATTGTTCACTTCTTGTAAGTCGCTGGTCACTGAAACAGCCCTAAATTTTGGAGTTTCGTTCCAGACAGTGTAATTCTTCTTTTGTTTGTTTGGGTTTTTTTTTTGTAGGGCAATGAATTCCACTTCTAACAAGGAACAGTTCCTTCGACAATTTGAGCAGATTGTCGGCGGGGTCAAACAGAACAAAATCAAGGTAACAATCAGTGAGCGAACCTTGTGGAAAGTTAGCAAGTGATGAAATAGGGACCAG